CCTATAGTAGCAAGAATCTTTCACCAATGTGGGTGAACTTCCTGGATTGTTATTCATCTAGTGAATTCACCCAGCGTGTGGTCATTTCTCTAACCAGTTGTTAGTGCTGCTTTGGAGCTAGGCGATGTGCGGTTCCGGTTCAAAGGGTATAAGGGCTGGTCCTGCTTTTGCCAGTTCGTCAGCCGGTTCGTCGCCTTCAATCCCCTCGTATCCGGGTACTCACGTCAGAGATACCTGGCTACCTTTTCCCAGAAGCTAGAGATATGTTAGATTTTCCCAGACCAACTTTCAATTCAATTTAAAGGTGGAAGAACTTAAAACCTTCAGAGCTGTAAGGATGACTGAGAATAAGTATATATCGCAACTTTTAATCCTTTTAAGTATTTCTTGTGCCCAGAGTAGTATTACATGAATCTAGCTTGGAAAATTTATCGTGTGGATAATCGTATAATGGTTAATCGCAGGACAACTACATACCAATGTAGATTAAATATTATATCGTGAAAATCTCAAGTATCATTGGTCATTCTCAATTTTAAAAATTGGCGTCATTTAAGGAAGAAATTTTTCTTTAAACTTGGCTCAACTGTTTTTTGTTTAAACGCGTTTTTTTAATCTTTTTAGCATTATCTGGGCATTTTCTTGAATAATTTGGATGTTACCATGTTTTAGTCTGTCTATCCAAACTGGGTTGGCCTGTCAGGCGCGTTTCGGCGTTTTGCCATCTTCGGTGTTGTTTCTATGCCCCACAAAGACAAAACGCGTCCGATAGTCCAACGCAGCGAAGGCCAATTTGTTCCTAGACGACCAAATTACAGGCACCGCAGATTCTTGAGTTTAAAATCCAGTAAACATCTAAATCTTATAATTTTCACTAAAATTCACGCATTTTTTTATTTAAAACAAATTTGCCAGGATTTACTTAAACATTTCCATTGTCTCTTTTGTTATAATAATTTTACTAGATTTAATAATCAGAAATGGTAGCACTTTACCTCGACATCAATTCTTGGTAGTAGCGGCATGTTCCAACAATTAAGTATTCAAATACATACAATACTTTGTCCTAATTGCTAATTTATTTAAATAACACCATTAATTTGTCTCGATTATAATAGAAAATTAGATTCTTAAAAGGCTGTTAGATTATTTAAAATATCACCACAGTCGTTTTCTAAACATTGGAAGCTATCTGTTGGTGTTATTGTAAATCAACTTTCAGACCTTACGTGAAGAAAAATAAATACAAAATCTCATATCATTTACACAAATACATTGATTTTATATACTCCAACTGGCTGTTTTATGTTCAACATTGTAATTATGTTTTTAATTAATTTAATAAACATCGTTAATTGGCTTAGAAGGTTTAAAGTTTAGGATTGTGTTACATGAGAGAAATTTATTTTCATATTGTATGGTCTACATTTTTTTTTATTTAGACGTCTGATTGAAAGAAACCCAAGAAGTGCTATGTGACTTAATATGTGATTTATTTTGGATGTTTTGAGCACATAGTCCTGTCCTCAGCAGTCCTAACACATTAATACATTAAAAAAAGTAGATAATTTAATCACTTTATATAATTGTGTATATGTAACAACATTTATCCCTGCAATTAAAATAATTCAACTGACTGGCTTTAGTCACTTTTCTTAAATTTAACAAACCCAATGGGTCATCCCCAGACACGAACCTCTGTTCGACAGATAATTTGATATAAATTTTAACTGGGGTTATGAACCTGTAATTTTGATCTATCATTTTAGACAGGCCCAACACTGAAGATTACATTTGAAGAGAGTCTTCGGTGCAGTTTGGAGGAGGTGGTATAAATGGAGGATGAAATGGACTCTATATTGTTGAAGGGAACCTCACAGAAGTACATTATGTTCAAGAAATTATCAAGGAATACTTCCCTCAATCCCTCAAACCAGGGATCAAATTGACAGGAATTTTCGATTTTAGGATGACAATGCTCTCATATTGGCTGAACGCCCCATTGCCCATTGTCTCCAGGCCTCAATCTCATTGAGCATGTGAGATGCTTTGCAAAGAAAGCTTTTTGATCACCATCCGCAGCCAGTTGACCTGCAACAACAGCGTGCAGCTTTGCAAGATCTAAGGAGTGAAATTCCTTATGATTTAGTGAAAACCTTATTAACAGTTTGTCAAACAGGTGCAAAGTGGTTTTAGCTAACAGAGGACATCATAATGATTGTTTTGCTTCTGCTCAGTAGTTGATCTTTGGACAAAAAACAGCAAGGTGGTCGTACAAGGATGACCCTCAAACTTCATCAAAATTACAATTAATTAAGGTTTTTAGTTGAGATAAAAAAGTCAATGGCACGAGCGGGATTCGAACCCACGATCTTCAGCTAGATACACCGCTATTAATTGGTCAAACGGACCACGAAATTAGTGAATTTAATGATTTAAAATGAAATATACTTCACTACAGCTCTCCGTGGCCATTTCATTTGTCATCGAGAATCCAATCCGATTACACGACATTTGAAAAATGGCAAAAATGAGGGAAAATTTAAAGGTGGGGTTGAGATGGGAAGTTGGTGTCCGAGTGGATCGAGGTCACGATAGCTCAAGTGGTAGAGCAGCGGCGTATCTAGCCGAAGATCGTGGGTTCGAATCCCGCTCATGCCATTGACTTTTTTATCTCAACTAAAAACCTTAATTAATTGTAATATATTAATTGGTCAAGTGGACCACAAAATTAGTGAACTTCATCAGAATGTTACACAAAACTGTTTGCGATGCAAGTTTTATCATACGGTAGCTCTCAAGTTGTTTTCTATAATCTGAAATGAATATAAATGCTGATGATCAGTAAAAAGGATTTTTTTTTTATAAGCGCAAGTAATGTTGTAGACCAATGATGCTGTTTTAGGTTATTTTCATGTTAAACTAACTTTCTGGTAAAATCAATTCATCAATTAAGAAAAAAAAAAGTGTCAATGGCCATTTTTCCATTTGTTTAAATGTAGCAGTTATTATTGCAAATTTTGCTGTCCAGTAAAAGTTCTACAGCGCAAGAATAATTCCATACTAAAGAAATTTGCACTACAAAAAAGTGATAGAATAAACACTATGTGAAAATTTATCTGAATTGGCTTTAAAATAGAAGATGTTTGAACCTTAATTGCTTATTACAATTACAATATTACTACTGAAGGCTCTTATTGTAGTATTACATTGAAACTTTTTTTTTTTCAAAAGAAGAAGTTTTATTAAGTTCCAACAACAGGACAAAGCTCTTTTAATTATTGAATGAGAAAACTTTTAAAATTTGATTGTCACGAGGTTTCACTAGAAAATCTGACAACATTGTACAGGATAAGTGTAAATTATGTTGAATATATATTTATATTCAATAAATTATTTTATAATATGTACTTCAAATATGAACAAAGTGTTTTATTATTATTCGTAAAATCTATTCAGGCCTTCTCAATATCCAGAATTATACCTACCTGGAAATTTATAAACATTACGATGAAGACTGTGAGATGATGAACTTGGTCTACCAATACTCACTGATTTTGTCTATCAAACCTGGAGAAGTTCAAACTATATTATTGTATATTTATGAAAACTTCCATGAAAGGATTTGAACTTAAATGTAATCTATCAATTAAGTAAGGTTTTTAGTTGAGATAAAAAAAGTCAGTGTCACGAGCGGGATTCGAACCCACGACCTTTGGCTAGATATGCCGCTGCTCTACCACTTGAGCTATCGTGACTTCCACACAGACACAAAATTCCCATCTCAACCCCACCTTTTTGAATTTTCCCTCCTTTTTGCCATTTTTCAATCGATGTGTGGATCAAAGTCACAATAGCTCAAGTGGTAGAGTAGCGGCGTATCTAGCCAAAGGTCGTGGGTTCGAATCCCACTCGTGACACTGACTTTTTTATTTCAACTAAAAACCTTAATTAATTGAAAGATATTAATTGGTCAAGCGGACCACGAAACTAGTGAACTTAAATGTAACGCTGAGTAGAAGAAAAATAGAACAATTTTCCAAATTTGATTCTTATATTTGTTTATTTTATTGATAATAATAATAAATGAGTAGGAGATAAAGCCAGGAGTAAATTTAAATAAAATATCAAATAGGTCATTTTTCCTTCCATATTTTGTGAGCAAACAATTTTTGTTCCATGTTTAATTATTTTGTTAATTACCAAAAAACATGTAGAATTTGATCGTTACTTAACATTTTGGTCTGCCTATCCATGCTGTTTTGGTTTTCCCACCCAGCAAAGATAGACAGCCAAAATGTTAAGTAACAACCAAAAGGTTCATCGGCAGACCTCAGGAAAAAATTGCAAGAAAGACCATATTATTATTACATTTTAAGAATGTATATTTTTAATTTGTTGTTGTATGAAACTGTTCCTTTAGTTATAATTGCTCACATTATATTTTACAAGTTTATTTATTCACATACAGTTTGTTTAGGTTAACCGATAAAATGTACATTTGGACAAAATGTTACATTTCTTGTCTCAATTAATGATTTTCCTTCTTCCTTGATCCTTCCATTCACATATTACCTCATCCTAAAAGATTTTTTTTTAAATATTGATTTTAGCCTTCATTTCATTTTATTACAGCACTGCTCAATCATAAAACAGCCCAATGTAGACTCATGTTAGGTGAAAACATTAAATCTATTTAGTTTTTTATGAAGTGAAAAATAAATGACAACGTGAGATGCCACGCATTTGTTTATTTAAAAATTCCAAGTTTTTTTAAATTATTTTGTTTAATTCTTAATAAATTTAGGTAATTATTAAGTTTTATAAATTTAAGTATATATTTTGGACAATAAATTTTACATCTTTATAAAAATGCTTTATCATGCCTTGAAATTGTATAAGCAGAGTAAATGGTTCAATGTAGGAGATCCATAAGTACATTTTTATGTAAGAACATGAATAAAATTTATTGTCAGTACAAAATAAAATACTATATTGAATGAAATATGTTCATATATTATATTTAATAGTTACACATTCATACTTTCCATTCATAAGCTTCTTCTGTTTTTTCCCTTTTTTTATTAATCAAATTTCCAAAGTTATGATGAGAATATGTCACATAATTTTTTTTAAACTAAAAATACTTATTACATTGTAATACTTTCTTTTGGAAACTTCCATTTACAAACTAAAGGTGTCATTTTGCCATTTTTGCAACATGTAGCATAATTGATTAATACTAGATAAATTAAAATACTTCATTCATAAATAAAATAATTTGTAAATATTTAATACATAAATTGGTTTGCTTAAAAATTAAATTACAAGTTGCATAGAACATCATTTTTTTCTTTTAGCAACGTTGTATTACACTAATATCATAAATGTATAATTTTGATTAATACTGCCTTTTTAATAACTAAATATTAAACATTGATTTATTATCACATTACTTTGTATACCCTTTTTTTGCTAATAATTTTCTTATTAATTGATTTTTAGTTTTATTTTCTATTTCTTCCTAATACCAATTAAAAATATTTGCGTTCATTTAAAATAATTTAATTCCACAAAGTATTTACAAATAACCATTATATTTTTGGTATAAATATTTTTTTTTTAAAATTTAAGTACATTAATTAAGACCTATGGTTTGATTTCCAATATGATGTAATTCATTCTTTTTGTAATTATCAGTTGGTTAATTTTAAAAAGACAACGAAGACAGTCAAGATCGTAAAGTAGGGTGATGACCTGCTTGCTGAATTTTCCAGCTTATCAGTTCCAGGATCTCTGAAACAAAACAAAAAAGACAACGGTGCACTCTGTTATCTTGAACCACCCAAACGTATAATATTTCAAAACAATTGGCAAAGACGACACAAAGCGGTTGAAGAGTGAATTTAGCAAAAGAAGGATAAGGCTTTAGAAGAGGTCAAAGGAAAAAAGCGATAGCACAAACAGTGACATAGACAAAACTAATTTATTTACGTAAATAAATAGTACATGAAAGAATGAAGAAAAACGTATACTATGAGAGAGAAAAAATTACAGTGTGCCAATGACGCCGCATGCGATTCTTGATCCCGCATGTCCTGTTGTTAGACTGTCAGGATGTTGTCCTTTGCCAAGATCATCAGGATCAGAATGAAGAACAACTCCACGTCCAATGATGCAGTTCGGGCCTACAAGGCTTGCAACATGGTCCGAAAGTGTGAAGGCAGCAACTCCATGTTCGTTCGCATCAATGTTACCCAAATCTCCAACATGCCTCTCTTCATCGGTGGGTCCACCATGATGTTTCTAAACAAAAAAATTCAATAACAACACAAAAAACTAAAATAGTTTTATTTACTCTAATTTAGTTTCAATTTAATTACTTGCACTATTAATAGAAACTAAACTAAATAATTAGTTATGTTTTATTAAACAGAACAAGATTTTACATCCATTATATTTAGTGGTCTATTGACCAAATTACTTCTTTCAATTAATTAATCTTTTTACATAAGGTTTTGGTGGAAATAAAAATGTTAGTGCCTCGAGCAGGATTCGAACCCATGACCTTCAGCTAAATACACCGCTGCTCTACCACTTGAGCTATCATGACAACAATTTTATTTTATTTTTTAAATTGTAAAGTCCCGCTATTGACACACACAATTTTTAAGTCACATTAGCTCAAGTGGTTAGAACGACGGGGCAAAGGCCAGGAGGTTGTGGGTTTGAGTGACACTAATTTTCCTTCTCTACCACACTTTACATAAAAATTATAAATCCATTTAAATATTTACTCTGGTACGACCAGTCGCATACTAGGACCAACTGCAACATATAGATTTTTTTTTTAAATATACATGCTGGCATTGCTTGATTCTTTTACCACTATATTTTCATTTAGCACAAGCTTTAGATTAATTATGTTTTAATGAGATGATTTTGAATTTATTTTCTTTTTAAGTGGTAAATATGATTTATTAATTATTATTAGCCAGAAGAGTTCATGTAACAAAGTTTTTTGTTTAAAAAAAAAATTATATATACATTTCTCTGTTTATGTGTGGATAAATTTTATATAGTTACATTGTAAGGGTTGAAGTGTCCACCAGTTGAGGCACAGCCACTGCTTAGGTCTCCCTTTTCATGGATGTGGAATCCATGGGTGCTTTTTGGTTTCAGCCCTTCGACAACGCCGGAGATAAGCAGGATACTGCCAGATTGCGTGAAGGTGATGTTTCCAGACACATTCGGCCCCACAAGCTTGGCAACTGCCCTGTGCTCCTGAAAAAGCGAATAATTCAATGTTTAAAAATTGTTAAGAAAGAGAATATCATTAAACACAATCCAATTATCCTAATATTTTTAGAGCTGATGGAAAAATTCTTTGGACAATGTTGGTATAAAATATGATGAACAAAACAAACAGTTTATAGTCTGATGGTGTGTTATGTTAACTGTCAAAAATTACAGCATCCTCTGTTTTTGTTTTTTGTTTGGTTTCACCAAGTTTCAAAAATTACCAGTAACACTGAAGCTGTTCTTATATATGAATTTTTTTTTTAAAGATTTTTGATTTGATAGTGATATTTGTTGAACCTCCCAGTGATTGAAGTTGTTATTACATCAACACGATGAGTGTGATCGGCTCCAACCTAGGAGGCCGATATCAAGTAGTGAGGTTGACACTGGGCCACCCGATGCTTTAGTCTTCTGTAAGGTGATGATTCGGAATGAATTATTTTCTAGCATGATTGGGCTAGATGAGTAACAAGAGGAACATTTAGATCCATACGGACGGTGTGACTGGAAATATAGAAACATGTGTTGTTCATGTCAAGTAAATTTTTCTTTTGTTTGTCCATGTAAGTTTAGATCATCTGCCACAGAGTCTTTTTAATATGCTACACCTTATGATACAGTCTACACACTTGTGTTCTATATGGGTATTTCACATCAATTGTTTCTCCAGGAAGAGTAAGAGGTATTGTACATGCTTCACAACAGGGATGGGAACATTGTTCAAGTACGCTGGTGGGAGCATTTTCTTGTAATATATGTGAATATTATGTAAATATGTTGATTTAGTTTTATTAACATTGATTCCATACTGTCGGAGTTGGGATTTGAGGATATGCAAGTGATTTTGGAGATTAAAAGAAGCTGCCATGTAATCTGAGAAATGATAGTGTTAGGTTGTGTAGGTAGGTTGTAGGTATATATAAAGCAGAGGAGTTAGGACGCTGCCCTGTGAGATACCTGATAGAATTGAATAGAAAGGAGATAATGAAGTTTTGTGGGACATGTGTCATGACCATTAAGATGGGATCTTAGTATAGATATATATACAGATTCTTTTAGGTTAATTACATGGTTGGTAGTCTGTGTTTGTTTTCTGAAAAAAATTGACAAGCGTGAAAGGTATGTAGTACAAGAGTATCAATGGCAGAATATCAAGAACCCCAAAAATTGTTGTAGGTGTGATTGTAAGTGTAAAGGGTGATAGAGGAACATTTGGGGGGCTGAAATCACTCAATAGCATAACTTTAGTGGTGGTACATATGAGACCAATGTCTGACAACGTACAAGAACAGGAAAGTACAATAAGCCATAAGGCTGCGGTGCTTGGAGAACAGAAATTCCCACTTCCTAGTGTCCAACAGCATCAGAACCACCAAATCACCAATCGGGTGTTTGTTGCAGGAAGCCTTGAGAAGTCAAATCAGAGACATAATAATAATAATCTTTATTCGTGGCTTTAGCCATTTTACATCACATACACATAACATGCAATACATTGTTTATGTTGGAGCAACACTCAAAGCGGGTGTAATTTTATTTTTAAAGTTTTGTAATTTATTACAGAATAGATTAACCTCTACTGAATTCATGAGCCTACATGCTATAAGGATAATAGGTGCTGAGAGTAGATAGTATTACAGAAAGGGATAGAAAATAGATTTTTCTAGTTAATTTCAAAGGAACATTTTAATAAACTCGTTGCAGAAGCTCAGGGCTTTCTATAATAAAATTTAACAATTTATATAAAAGTATAACATCATAAATATCTCTTCTTATTTTAAGGGGGGGAGGGTAATTTCCAACACAGCTCTTAGTTCATCATAATTTATATGGTCTAAGTTTAAGTGTAATTTATAGGCTAAAAATCTTAAAAACCTATTTTGAACTTTTTCAAGTTTATTGATGTAAGACAACTTGGGGACCAAACTGGAGAATTGAACTCAAGAATAGAGCGAATAATTGAAAAGTATAGAGTTTTTTTACAATTTGTATTAAATTCACGAGTTTCGTGGTATAGTGACCAATTAATATCTTACAATTAATTAAGGTTTTTAGTCAAGATAAAAAAGTCAGTGTCACGAGCGGGATTCGAACCCACGACCTTCGGCTAAATATGCCGCTGCTCTACCACTTGAGCTATCGTGACCTCCATCCACTTGGACACTAACTTCCCATCTCAACCCCACTTTTTTATCCCAACTAAAAACCTTAATTAATTCTAACAATTTGTATTGTTGAAATCCTTGGACTTTCTTTTTATAAATCCTAGCAGTTTTACAGCTTTATTTACAATAGCATTTATATGATCAATAAAAGATAGAGTTACATGTAAGGAATTGAGCTTAGAAAAATCGAAATCAATAAAATTACTTTTAAAAAACTCTCTTAGACTGTCAGTTTTCATCTGTTTATAAATAATGGGCTGATATCCAGGCTAAATTGCCAATACAAGATTATAATTATTTGTTGTTGATTAATGCAATGTTCCGATTTTCGTCATTTTTAATACTGACAGAATTTCAACATCAAGTAGATTAGAGTGTATTTATTGCCTCCAATTAAGGCTCAAACAATTACTTAACAAACCAAATATATTATTCAAAAAATAAATAAAGATTATAATTGATCTAGAGCAATTGGGGAACTTTGAATGATAATAATTAAATTTAATTTATTCTTAGTTTATGCAGATGTAAAAAAAATATGATTTCATGATTGTATAATGAGTGGTGATTAGTGACCGTTAATCGATAATTATTCAGAAATCGTGAGATGCGGTCTGGTGAGATGTAGGTTTCAGAAAAACATTTTCTTTTTCGTGCCAACGTTTCGATCTTTAATGAGATCATCTTCAGGACCTGGGATTTACAAACATTGTTTACATTTAACAAATACTTCTTCTTGCCATTCTTGCGAATCCAACGCATATAAACATAAAACAGCAATATCTCACTGGCACTCTCAACACGACACGCAAGAATGGCACAATTACACAGAAGACAAACATTTTGAGTGAGTAGAAATACTTTGATTGAATATAAAAAATATATTTTGCATTGTATAAATTCACTTTTCCACATCCTAAATGTATTTGTTAAATGTAAACAATGTTTGTAAATCCTAGGCCCTGAAGATGATCTCAATAAAGATCGAAACGTTGGCACGATTAAGAAAATGTTTTTCTGAAACCTACATCACACCAGACCGCATCTCACGATTTCTGAATAATTGTATAATGAGTTAAAATTAAGTTGGATTGTTAGACGGTGGTTTATTTATTTTTAATTTTTACTTGTGCAAGAGTGAACACAAAGTGGCATCTAGGGCGTTCGTAGCTCTTCAGCAAAGAGTAATTACTAAACGTAGTAAAACGTGGATGGGATTCCACAAAGAGCTTGTAACTTTCTGAGGTCATAGCTCTGCAAGGAGCTTCTTTGGGTGGAGAGGTGATCACAATAAAAAAAAGGAGAAGAATAAAAAAAGGAAAAAAGCCGCCGGGCCTCGGCATGGTAAATGAGAGGGCGCGATCTGTTACAAGGCTCAGGTTGGCGCTTGTTAATAGTTTATTAACTAGGCAGCCCGGCCTTGGCTCCTTTTCCCGGCTCGTTTCTAATTTTAATTACATCGGTTAAAAGTACGTCAATCACGGGATTTGTCAGCGACAATTATCAACAACAGGATTTGAAATATAAAACGATGGAAACTCGTCTAGGCATGCAAATGAAATCCGCTGCTAATGATGAGACGATAATGATTCCGGCCCACTATAATTTAGCCCTTTTCCTACCACTTAAACACCAACTGGTATAGGGGAAACAGAAATTATTAAAGAAGCAAGGAAGGTGTTAATATTTGGATGTATTCGCTTTCGGATTCACAGCTGCTTAAAAACCCATCATCGACAAAAAGAGTATAGTAGATAACTATGCAAACAGGTTGTTGACTTTTCCATATTTTTAAAAGATAAATATATTTTATTTCCATCATACATATGTCTAGAATCTATACTAGAATGTAGAATTTCTGAATTTTAATTTCGATTAATTTTATTAGTCGTATATCGCTGAGTTGAACAGGCAGTTTCGCCAGAAGGTTGATTTTTTCCTCCAATAAAAGGTGGACGACTTTTTTAATATTACACTCTAGCTAATAAGTAATCTTTCCATGATGAAATAATATAATAAAATATAAGGTGCGTGGGTAGCCGCAACGGTTTTGGCGTTGAAACGGCGCTCGTCAATGTAAGGTAAAGGTCCCGGGTTCGAAACCAGCGGCCCTGCATTCGAACCTGCTATACTTACAAATGGGCGTTTTAATAGAAATGATAAATGATGGAGTGAGTGTGGTGTTCAATCCTTTTCAAAAAGATAGTTCCTACTCACAGTAAGTTGCTTTGCAACGATCAGGATTTCGAGCCTTTTAGCTCATCATCAGGTTGAAGGACTTCTACAACCTGATGATGAGCTAAAAGGCTCGAAATCCGGATCATTGCAAAGCAACTTACTGTGAGTAGGAACTATCTTTTTGAAAAGGAATGGGCTTTTTTTCAAAAACACCGGCATCCTGAGGGTTTATATGACCTCTGCTGTTGCGAACTCTCGTAAAATATATAATAAAATAAAACATTTACGCATAAAATAATTGTTTTGTCGTTTAGTTCTTCATTTTTTGTAACGTCACCTTAATAAATCATATAGTTTGACACGTTTGAGTCGTCTTGCTCGGTGTTCAATGTCTAACAGGTTTCTTCTACATTGACTTGACCATGGTGGGCTTTACAGAACTTAAAATATTGTCCACTTCTGTTTCCATCGAAAGTCTTCATTTCCGACATACCTAGTGCATTTTCTGTGCATTTCAGTTCGCTAAGCTCAAGCCGTTGTATGACGGTATGTTTTGTACGGTTGATCTTACAAGCACAGAACTAGAGCCGGATGCCATAAGTCCCTATGGTCTTGAGGACATATTGATAAAGTAAGATC